GCACAAGCCGTTTATTCTACTCACAAGTCACTTCTCTGGGATCACCATGATGCTTTTTTGGGCTCGAATAGCTTCCCCTCCAATCATCAGCCGCCATCTGGAGGGGGAAGGACGACCGAGTAGCGGGCCTATCTTCTGCCCTGTCTCATCTGTCAAATCTAGGATACTAAGGGGACATCTCTCTTCTATATTCAAATGACTTCCCTTCCAATTGTCAGTCGACATCTGGAAGGAGAAGGATGACTCAACAGCCTATCTGCTCACCCTACAAACGTCCTCCTGTGCAAAAGAAAGGCCAAAATTTCAGAGGTAATGGACTATAAAAAGGAGGTAAGGAGGGTAAGGGTGAAGGAGGCTGATCCCTGCTTCTTACACCTGAGCTTTACTCCCTTTTCGATCTTCTTTTTACATAAAGAGAAAATTTAATAACTCTTAGGGAGGGACCCCCTGCAAGGACCTCAATGGCCCAGGGACCTCTCAAAAACCCCTCCTCAAGTTCACCGACTGACTTGACCGTCGGAGGTACCACGAGGGAAATTAGCCCCGTACTCCTACGATTCTTACATGTGCAGGCTATCAGCCCACCCCGCGCGTTCAGAATCAGGCGTAAAGTCGGAGGAGGAGTCAGCCCCAATATTCATCCTCTCCTTCTTCCCCATCGTCGCCAGGATCGAAGTTGCATCCGACGGTGAATGACCCCCATCAACTGTTTGTTCACGAACATCAACAGTACTATTGCCCTAAATTAGAATACACACCTTCAGAATAAGAAAAGTAATTTCTTATTCATTTAGGGCATGTTAGGTTATGAGGAGTAAGATGTAAATCCCCCGAAAAAAGTATAATTGTGTCTGAATGTGGTAGAAAATAAGGAAAATGTCAAAAATAGAGTCCTAAAGTTTCATTTGGTTCTCTCAAGAAAAAATAGAAACATTTTCTTAGAAATCTTTGTCATGTCAATTTTTAAGGAAAGCCATGGTCCAAGCTTTTTGCTCGAAATTGGTTTGGAAAGGGCATGAAAGGGTATGTTTTAATTAAAAAAAAAAACAGGACAGAGGCATTTGGAGGTTTCTTGAGGGAATATATATTAATAAAAAAGAGTGATACCATTTACTGAGGTCGTGCATTCCTATTTGTTGGTTTCAAATCAAACTAGCGAAAGTTTGCTAGAAATAGATTATGCTAGTTTGATTAGTCGACCGATAACAACTAATTTTACCAGTAACAGCTAGTTTTGGGTTGTTTTTGTTAGAGAGACTATATATATGCCTCGTAATTCATTTGTTTCACTAAGGAAGTTTATAGAAGTGTTTTATCAATATGTTTAAATGTTTTTCAATAAAAATTAAGTGTGTTTTGTTTATGTAAAGAGAGTTTCACAAGAGAATGATTGCAACATTGTTCTTGAGGATTTCAACCTCAAATATCTACCCCTCTCTTGCTTATTTTGGAGAAGTTTTCTAAACTCCTTACAGGCTGTAAAAAAAAAAATTCAAAATAGATAGCTGATCCCACATCAAACACCGATGATGGAAGTTACAATCTGACGACTTCCAGAAGGCTATAATTTAAAGACTTTCACATAGACCGATGAAGGTTACAATCTGACGACCTTCACAACAACTGATAAAAGCTCTAATCAATAGTCTTCACAATCAACATCGGGAGTTACGATCTGACGACTCTCATATTTTCAAGGAGCCAAGATGAAGATTACAAGATAATAGTCTTTGCAACGCTCTGCAGAAGAAGCTATAAGTCATTGGCTCCTTCTAAAAACGCGGAATTCATCTTCGCGTTTCAATTCCTGAAACGCAGGCGACCCCCGCGTTTCCAAGCTTCAACAAGCAAAACACGTGCGACCCTCGCGTTTCCAACCTTCAGCAAACGAAGCGCATGCGACCCCCACGTTTCCAACCTTCAGACTCCAAAACGCGAGCGGCCCTCGCATTTTTCAACACCCAGCGAGTACCCAACTCCGCGTCTCCATTCTAAAACACGAAGTTAGGGTCTTGAACGCCAACGTGGGCGTTTGACTCGTTCAAACATGAGCTGAACGATTGCAGGAACCGTTTTCCCTCCACGATTTGAGGGATTTCCGCCCCACTTAGGAGCTGATTAAGGGGGCGGTTACACCCCTCTCAACCCCATTATGGAGAGAATTAAGGGGGGGGGGGTTACACCCCTTAATTCCCTATAAATATGGGTAAACTCAATTGAGTTCGGGCTGGCTTTTTGGATCTGAGACTTGGCAGCGAGGAGGAGATTTTTGGCTTCTTCTTGGGGATCTTCGATTTGGAGTTTTGAAAATCAAAACTGCACAAAAGAGAGATCAACATTCATCTTTTGGGAGCGGTCTTGAGAGCTTTCGGCCTTGACGGATTAACCGACTTTCGGTTCAAATCAACTCTTTCATAGAGTTTCAAACTCGTTCAGAGTTATCAACTCATCAAGAGTCTAAAACTTACCACACAAGTTCTCCACAACGTCGAATCGTGAGGAGAAGATATCGTTCCAGTGAATCAAAACGTTGGATCGTCAACGGAGAGCAAACTCGACGCGAGCATTCGATGGAGGCATTCCATCGCCACCGTGAAGAACCCAGAATTAAACAAAGGGGAGAATCCAGATTAATTCTCCTCTCTTTTGTAATCAGGAAATCCAAATTATAATTGAGATCGAAGGAATACAAATCAATTTTCCTTTATTTCTTTTACTGTAAATTTTCCCACAAACACTCCTATCATCTAGCTATTTATTATTTTGATTCTCATATATTTGTGCTAGATTGATTTGAGTTTAACTTTGATTTCACTATAGTCATTGTTTTGCACACACAGGTGACACGAGTCGTCCAACACTTAGATAAGTGTATTGTGTGATTATCAACGTGTGAGTTGTAAAAGTTTTCAGTGAGTTTTGGAAACCGATTGTGTAGATTTTTGAGATAGTGAAGTATCTCCTCGAGGTGAGGAGTGGAGACGTAGGTCAAGGGTTGATCGAACTCCGTGATCATATTGCTTGTTTGTGTTTGACATTGACGAACTTATTCTAGAATGTCACATAGTTTATATCGCTTGTTGTTTTGTATATCCTTGCTTATATCATTGTGCATATCATATTGTTAGCATATTTTGTTTAGAAGTTTTAATTTGACATCGAAATTGGATTAAATTAGTAAATACCCTATTCACTCCCCGTAGGGTACTTTCAGAATAGTGAAGAGAGCTTATGTGTTGGATGGATAGTCAATGCCATATATTTCATACATGGGTTTAATAGAAAACTTCAGAAATTAATACTAGTTCAAAAAACTACACTAGTATTCACTTCAAAATCCTCATTAGACTCCAATGTTACTATCTTCAAGCAAAACAAAATGCAATCCCAGTGACATAGATACTCCAAAAGGGTCTGAAATATAAGCACGCATCCCAAAAAGACCTTTGACGGTAAGGGGCTGTTTGGTTGGTTTCCTAAAAACCAAGAAAAGGAAATCGGTACAAGGAAATCAATAAAATAATATTTTTATCCATTTTCATCCTTAAAACTCACCCACAACATCTAATAAAATATTATTTTTATCCTCCAACTCATCTCATTTCATCTCCTTTCTTACCTTTAAAAATAAACCAAACACAAGAAATGTGTCACATCATCCAACTCATCACATCTCATTTTATCTCATTTTTAAAAATCACACACATCATCCAATAATATTGTGACAACTCATCTCATCTCATTAAACATTCCTTTCCATCCATTTCCTCAAAAAAAAAACAAGAAATCAATTTCCTTAAGTACGTGTCACATCATCCAATAATATACCTCCAACTCATCTCATCTCATCTATTTTCTTATTTTTAAAAACGAACCAAACACAAACAACCTCAAAACATCATCCAATAATATACCTCCAATTCATTTCCTTGTTTTTTTAACCAACCAAACAACCTCAAAACAAGTTTTTTTAAAAAATCACTCACATCATCCAATAATAAGGCGACAACTCATCTCATCTCATCTCCTATTCTATAATTTCCTTCTTTTTTAAGCCAACCAAACAACTTCAAAACCATTATAATAGGAAATAGGTTTCCTATTTTTTGATTTCCAGGTTTTTTTGGCCAAACAAACAGCCCCTAAGAGAGCAACAAATGTGGCGCGTAAAGAAGCAACGATATCACTAAGAACAACAGAGTTTACCTAATTAAATTTTCTTATCAAAACCCCGACCTTATCTTTCTCTTCTTTCACGGATCGAAAAAAAAAGGCGTGGGTTTGGGGGGTGGGGGGTATAAAAAATACGCAAGTACGGGCCTCTTGAGGAGAACAATATACATGAAGGTGATAATATATTGTCTTAGAATGTTTCTATGTTTGGCCTATTGGACTAAACATTTTTTTTTAATTTTTGTTTATTTATTTTGTCTTTTGTTTAATAAATCATAGGCAAGCCTAAATTTTTTCCTTTTTTCTATTTCTTTTCTCTTCTGTTTTGAAAAATCACAGACAATGTTATACCAGTGCATTGTTGTCGAATGTATTCCATATTAACGTGGAAGGATTCTATTAGAACACCCTATATAATGAGGTGATCTATACCATACACAAGAAACTAGAGGGTTAGATTCGAAATAGTGACTATTCAATCGGTTGTGTGAACCACCTCATTCCTATAGAGATGTTCTGATAGGATCCCTACTGCGTATTAACTTATTCCATATACAAATGTCTACAGAGTGTTCTCTGTAGGATTTCCCCCCTTCTTAATTTGGTCCATCCTTTAAAGAGGCCCAGTCCAGACGTCCTTAAGACGGCCCAGTCTACATCCAGGCCCACTGAGCAGCCAGTCAATGCCGAAACCTGTTTTAAATGAACCACGGGTACAGCATCGCATTGAACGTATTGACCTATCTGAACCGCACCAAAGCCCATAATTTGCAAATTGCCGACCACGATCGATCCGACGCAAAGAAAACAGGAGAGCATCATAAGCGTAAATTGTTCCGAGGGTACAACCCGTCCAGTCTCTCTAAAACCCAGAATCTTCTTCTCGCCCCAGATCACAGGGAGGCGAGCAAAGCCATCGATTCCTTTCTCGACGGCTGAGCAAATTTGTTTTCGATGTAAGCTTTTTTTTTTTTTAATTTTAATTTTAATTTTTTGTATTATTTTAAATCGTTTGTTGGTGAGCAATCTGATCACCGCAATCTGCACCCTATTATGTTCAATCATTCTAGATTTGCTCAAGTATTACGCAGATCTTATCTTATACATGAAGTCTATTTTGCTAAACTGATTTCGCCTACCATTAAATGTGCTTTTGAAGGAATATTCCTTAATCTGGTAGTCTTAAACATGAATTTCTCTTTTCTACTTACCATGGTTTTCGGGTTTTCGGGTGATACTTCTGTAGTTTTAATCGGCTCACATTGATTCTGTAGAAAATGACTGCTCTAGACTCAATTATCTCCATTTTTATTCCTTTGTGTTGCACGCCGTGCGGAAGCGTGCTCGACAACCAAACGAGTGGGTGAGCGATGGTAGAAGAGAACCAAACCAAATTACGAGTGCAATTCACCAAAATACGATACAGGAATTTAGGTGGTTCGGCAATTGCCTACGTCCATAGGGAGAGGATGGGGAGATTTCACTATATGGAAGAGAAATACAACGGGTTACAACTCACAAAATTATTCAAATATAACCCTAACTAAAGCTCTCAACTCCCTCACAATATCTTCCTCTCAAAGTGCTCAAAACAATGCTAATTCTCTCATTAAGAAATTCTAAAAAACGTATTTTTATTTATAACAAAACACAATCCGAAACATGGTGGAAATCTAAAAACGAGTCTGCCACATCCGGGTGTGGTGCGCGCCACACCCCTGAAAACAAGGCAGATTCTGCCACACCTGGGTGTGATAGACATCACGCCCATGTCGAATCTTCATGTTTGCCAACACATTGAACAATTTGACGTCGTTTTCTATAATTCTTCACCCCGACGAAGTGTTCCAAAAACTGAGCCGACGCCAATATGAGCACCAATGCATCATCTCACCAAATACGGCTGCACTAATATGGTCAGAAGTATACTCATCGCCGTTGTCGGATCGCAACGTCTTGATATTTCTCCTAGTCTGCAGTTCCAATCTCTTCTTCCACTTCACAAATATCTTTAAGACTTCACTCTTCTTCGTCATGATGTACACCCAGTAACGTCTAGAATAGTCATCTACAAACATGACGAACCAATATCGATCACCAAATGATGCCGTCTTAGTGGGACCCCAAACATCTGTATGCACGTAGTCCAAGATGCCTCTCGTCCTATGGATGATTATCCCGAACTTCACATTCGTCTTCTTGCCAAGAACATAATGCTCACAGAACTCAAATTACTGTACTCGCCATCGTCTTAGTGCTTTCACCAATTTCTTCTCCCATGTTTACAAACTCTAAATTATAAAGAAAGATTCAAACTTTGATAGAATTGAGAAATTACCCAATTGAACCCTAGATAGGATTCCAACTAGATCTCCTAACCACACGAGGAAAGCGAGATTTCCAACGACAACTCCACAACGCTATCTCCACCGAAGCCTAGAACTTCAAGAATCAAGCTTCAAACAATACAAAATCCTAGATCTGAAATTTGAGCTCTGATACCAATTATTACGCCCTGAGCAGAAGCATGCTCGACAACCAAACAAGTCAGTGAGCGATGATAGAAGAGAACCAAACTAAATTACGAGTGCAATTCATCAAAATACGATACAAATTAAATCAAACACAAGAATTTACGTGGTTCGGCAATTGCCTACGTTCACGGGGAGAGGATTGGGAGATTTTACTATATGAAGGAGAAATACAACTAGTTACAACTCATAAAATTACTCAAATATAACCCTAATCAAAGCTCTCAACTCCCTCACAATATCTCCCTCTCAAAGTGCTCAAAATAATGCTAATTCTCTCCTTAAGAAACCCTAAAAAACGTATTTTTATTTATAACAAAACACAATCCCAAACATGGTTGGAATCTGAAAATGAGTTTGCCATACCCGGGTGTGGCACGCACCACACCCCTAAAAACAGGACAGATTCTGTCATACCTGCGTGTGGCAGACACCACATCCCTGACAACAGGGGCAGATTTTGTCACACCTGGGTGTGGCAGCCCCCCCCCCCCTGCCGAATCTTCATGTTTGCCAACACTTTGAACTTTGAACAATTTGACGTTATTTTCTACATTTTGGAGAATGTTTTTTTTTCCTTTTGTGTCTTATTTATTACTTAAGTTGTGGTTTATGTGTCTTGGGAGTTAACATACTCCACAGTGAAAATGAATATTTTTTATATGAGACATTGTCACTAGAAATGTCGGATTACTGTTAATATTACACAAGACTAAAATTTGATTAGCACACATATGTTGTATCCACTAGCGAGGGCTCACACAAGAGGGATCAGTACATATAAGGCTTATGTGTGAGAAAACTTCCACATTAGGAGGATAAAAAAGTTTTATGATGGATAACTGCATGTTGGTGGCGTAAAGCATTGATACATATGATATGAATCTATGCCAATACGTTTTAGACCCCGACACTCGCCACACAATACGAACACACCATGGTTTAGTGTCAACTCACCAAGATGTGTCCAACTTAGGGGTTGTTACTGTCTATGATGCACGGATACGGATACGGGACACAGATACGACACGGATATGGGATACGGCAAAATCCAAAAAAATAGAATACGGGGATACGACAAGGATTTAAAAAAATAATATTATTATATATAGAAAAATTTATAAAATTCAACTAACAATATAAAATATGAATCTATCACAAAATAACAAGTTTGTAAACAAAAAGTACCTCAAGATGAAGTGCAAGCTGAGAGATTGAGAGAGAGGGTCAGGGTTAGGGTTTTTTCTTATTTTTTTCCGTTTGAGTCAGCTGAGGATCGAATCGAACAAGAGATTTGAGAAATAGGGATGGGTTTTTTAATCGAACGGTTCGGGTTGGATTTTAACAACCAAATCCGCAACCCAAATGAATCGGCCTTCGGCGAATTTGAGCCGTGTCTGAGCTCCTTTGACTGTGTCCGAGCCTAATTTGACCGTTGACCCGTGTCGGACACGGATTGACCGTGTCCGACACGTGTCATGCACGTGTCGTGACGAATCCATGTCCGATTCGAGTCGGACACGGATTCGTGGCCTCTGGGGGCGAATCCGTGCTTCAGAGGTTACTGTGCTATAGTGGTTCAAGATTGTTGGGTAAAACTAGACCCTTTTCTATGATTAAGTTATCTTTTAGAGCTAGAATTTGGATTTGAATTTATTTTGTTATTGGCTCCTGGGATTGTGATTTGGACTATTGACTAAACAATCCAAATTCTAACCCTACTATATATATTCTAACTTGTGGAAGCCCTAAAAAGACCCAACTCCAAATATCAGGATTGTGATCTCGCTCCTGGAATATTACTCTTCCTCTTCTCTCCAACAATTAAGAATCCAAACCATCAAATCTAAACCTTTCAAATCAGTTTTCCCCGGTTATCAAACTCTAAAAACCTTATCAAATCTAATTCCTTGATGGTCGTTATTAGTTTCATTAAAAAAGAAACAAAAAGTAGAGTGAGGAACTCATATTGCATCTAATAAGGATGGAAACTTTGAACCACTTGGTTGAGTTTGACTATGTGAAAGAGCGAAATGAAGGAGTTAAAAAAAGAAACTATCTCTTGTCCGTTCCGTTCATGCCTAATTAAAAAAAAAGATCATGTAGATGACGTGTTAATTTAAATACTGATTGTTTGTATCTTATTCAAGACATAGCATTCTGATTCAAGATGACCCAACAAATCTAATTGTATATGGTATATAGAATTTTAAGTGAGAATGGAGGAAGAGTTGGTAATTACTAACCATAACTGGAATTATTGGAGGCAGAGATCGGAGGAAAAAAATATAGTTAGCAACAGAAAATAAACTTTTTATTATATAAAATTGGAGCATTGCAGCTATTCTCACAATTTAATGGTTTATTAAATTTTTTGAAATTCTAGTCCAATCCAAGAATTCTAGTCCAGATTGTTTGAGAGCCAACTTTTAGTTGAGCAATTCAACCCAAAAGTTCCCTATCCTAGAAATTAGTGTTCTTGGACAATTGTCCTAGTCTTGCCTAACTATTATGAACCAATAACAGCCTGTTAAGACTTTAATATTTTGGTTCCAAGACATTAAACTATTTTTCTAGTTGAGTTGGTGAAACGTAATCACTCTAGATCGTGACCAAGTTGTTCAACAAGTAACATATTAAAAACTACTTTGCAAATGTCTTACTGTTGTTATTATTAAATGTTTTTTCTGTAGGGTCATCCTATTACCGTACAGTCTGAAACTTTATGCTGAACTTTGACCATGGAATTTGCTAACATCACTTTCTTATGCATGTTATAGATAAAATTTTCTAGTGGTTATGAAAGATATATTACAAATGTGTCCCCATATCACACCTTTTACAAAATTGGTGTATCCTTTTGCCATATCTGTAACTTAATTCATATTGTCTGTGGAAACAGTTGTTGAGGCATTTTAAAAATTCATTTTTACACATAGATACTATTGCAGAGGCAAAATCTTCTAACCATGTACCAAAAATGTATTCTTGAAGAAAATGTACGGATTTACCATCTTTTTCAGTGTACAATTAATAATGATAGGGAACTTATTCACCCTTAGCACATATATTAAACAGCGAAACTGCAACTAGTTTGAATGGGACTTTGCTTACTCCTTTCTACAAGGTGATTTTGACAACCTCGTAATCCTTTCAGTTTAAGTGTTACATCATTGGTTTATTGCTCTAGAACAAGCCAATTCTCTCCCTTCTGTGTTTTTTATTGTCTGAGTTTGAAATTTGATTTTGCCTACTCTATCCTGTATGGTAGCTGTAGTATCCCCGGAATCGTTCGAGTTCTATTCCTGCACCACAGATACCTGGAAGCTCCTTTAGCTCGATAATTTGTTGTATAGACCTTCCGTGTAAAATGTAGAAAACTGAAGTGTCCCTAAATGTCATATACGATAGAAAGCACTTATTGGGACCTGAAAAACAAGTAAATTTATAGCCCATTTAGAATCTGGAATAAATTAGTGAGCTTCCTTTTTTTTTTTGGCGGGGCATGGTGTGTTTGGGATGTGAAGAATGTGGAACTTTTGCTTGCAACGGTGAGAGTATCGAATGAATAAAAAGATAAAAAAAGCAACCAAGCGAAACAATCTAGATTCACGGTTCAGATACACTTACATTCATGGGAAGACAAGGATCTTTTATAAACTTTAAAAGAAGGGATTTCAAGGGAACTTCTTCTGTTCTTTAAATTGATCTCTCACTTTCCCCGCGGAACACATCTTGGAGATCTCTCTTTATTTCCTGTGTCTTTCGAGATTATACTCTATAGGGATATTAATTCAAGAGAGCAAATCTTCTTTGTAATTCCTACTCTGGTATCAATTTAGAGGAGGAAAAAAAAAAATCATCTGTCCCCGTCCGTGGATATAGCGTTTTACCAAGCAGTCATCAGTGCTTTGTGTTATTTCTATTACCTTTTCTCGTATGCTTAAAATTTTCACTATGAGAGTTGTTGATCGGTGGCCATATTCTCATTGTGCACCCAAACATGTATTGTTTGCTTTGGATTCTCATAAAGTCATTTAATACCCCAATTTACTCCTTTGACCACTAAAAGACAAAGGTTGTCACTACTACTAGTGTGCTCAGCACTGTAAAACACCCTCCTCGAAGATGGGTTGATATTTTGGGACCAAAAGGAGGAATGTTCGAGGTTTGACCACCCTTTGGATGTTAGCTCTTGACATTAAGGATATCTACCTTTTCTTTTTTGTAGTATTTGGATGAATCTCTCTTAAATGAAGAGGATATCCCCCAGTCCCTTTTACCCTAATCAGATGCAACAAACAAGTGGCATCAAGGCTCAGATTTTGGAGCCCAAGGTATTATTCATGCAAAATGAATGTTAAAGGCATCATATAGATAAAAGAGGTTGGCTGTTTCCAAGCAGTGAAGGCGTCGTAAGAAAAAAGAAGAAAAGAAAGGTGACTAGAGAGATGTTGGTATAAGTTTCTGGGAATGCTTTTAGTCTAACATCTTCATGCCTGCATAAATGTCTCATCAAGTGATGTGTATTGTGCGGTGTGCTTGTGGATGAAGTTGGGTGATGAGGGTATCTTGGCAGAACTAAGTCACATGGTTGATGTGACTTTGTATTGAGATAGCTGAGATTGGTGATGCTAGCTGACTAGGTTGATAAGTAGAAAGAGTCGTCACCTCTTTTCTTGATTTACCCATTCATTATTATCTTCATGCCTAATCATAATTGTTCTGTTTCTGAAAAACGATCCGTTTCATAACCGCTTGATGCTTCGCTGGGCGATAACTTTTTAAACTTTCATCTATAAATGTCTTAAGACATGAAGATCACTTTGTATTGTGTTGATCATGCACTTGAGATAGATAAGGGTTTTTAGAGCTCCACAGAAGGGCATTCCTCATATGGATAATGTCATTCTTGTATCCTCTACACGTGCACTAAACACAAACACGGAGGAAGTTAGGGTTTAAAAACTGCGTGTGTTCTTTTATGCATTTGTGTGTGCTATTCACTTTTGCGTATTTTCATTATGACTGTGTTTCTATGCAAATAAATGTTCGTCTTTGTGCGGCATGCTAGTTATCCATGTTTATTATTCATGTTGACCCATGCATATTATTTGCAGTTTTGACCTTTTCTTTAAATTCAGGGCGGATGATGAACCTGTTGATCAGAAAAAATATCTTGAGGAGCGTTGCAAACCAGTCTGTGTAAAACCTTTATTTGAGTACCAGGTAATTCTTAGATTGTTAATCACATAATTTGCACTTGGCTTTTGGTTTCTTACTTTCTGTGCGTTATTTTCCTGCTACTAAAATTTTCAGTGGCTTTCACATTACTAAATTGATTGTAGGTTTTCCTTTTTTTTCCATGGCTAAGAACCAATTAATTACTGTTCTTAACTTCTTATAATTATGTCTCGAAGAAATTTTTTCATTACTAAATTGATTGTAGGTTTTCCTTTTTTTTCCATGGCCAAGAACCAATTAATTACTGTTCTTAACTTCTTATAATTATGTCTCGAAGAAATTTTTTCTAGAAGTCAATTTGAGTCACATTTATATTTGTTAACAGCAGAAGGTTGATGTTTGCTAAATAAAAGCGTAAGTTATTGTTAACAGCAGAATGATATTTGCTAACTAAAAGCGAAAGTTTTGTAGTTATCTTTATGTACCAACCCATTAAATTGGACTGTGACTACCATTTGAAGATCATAATGGCACTGCCCAATGTTCATTAGATTGCAAGACCAAATTGTATACTTATGCTGTTGTTTGACTGTATCAAAGAGACTTTTCTCAGCTGAATTTTAGGATCTGTAACATGTAGTATATCTTTATGACATCATGCTCAACATTTCTACGAGATAGCTAAAACTAATGTCTGAAGGTGAAGTAACGTTTCTTGCACATAGTAGTCCTGTACTAAAAATTATCTTCTATGTTCTTGGTCACTTCTTGAGTGAGTGGTTAATTGAAATTATCTCCTGCCTTTGGCCCTAATTTGATTTTTGGTGAACGTACTTTTGAAGTACACCCGATACACAACTTGGACTTCAGGGTTTAGGACATGCAATTTTTTCTCGCTGTTGTGATAAATTATATTTGTTTGATATATGTGACGACAAGGTAATTGTGACAATCTGCATGTCTATCATTCTATCTGTTTCAGGAGCACGATATTCAACCTTCAACTGTCGATAACATCCTTTGCATCATCAGTATTTAGTTTTATTATCATAGATGTCTAATTATCTATTGAATTAATTACATTCCTGTACCCTGAGGTACGGTGTAATTACACGAGTGACCCTGGAGTTTGCGTATTACATGGGGAACCTTGAGATTGCTAATTGTAGTTACGTGGGTGACCCTAGAGCCTAGACGATAAGCAACTCTCAAGGTTACCTGCGTAATTACAATCAGTAACTCCAGGGTTATTCATGTAAATACACAGACTCTAGGGTTATTTGTGTAATTACATTATAATTTAGGGTATCAGATTGAAATTAATCCTGATAATTCCATTTGCATTTATTTGAATTGCATGCCATCTGATGAATTCCATTGTCATTTGATATCTGTTCTGCCAATCCCGAATATGGGTTGAAGTATTTGCGACTGTTATTTTTATATTTCTTATTTGTTATATAAAGGCTAATGGTCTGGTTCACTGGTAAAGCAAGGAGATAGGTAATGGAAGGTCTTATTCTCTAAACCAGGCGACTATGACCATTGTTAAAGAAAAGGAAAAAGAAGGAAAAACGTGTCATATAAAGTGGGCAAAAGCTTCAGAATTTCATTCTGCTGCCAGAAAGTCTAGGGCCAATTATTTGTAGAGTCTGCGAGCTTTTTCTTTCATGATAAAAAATATTATCAATCCTTGCTGTAACCAGGACTTCTAGTATTGCAGCATATGTCGGCTTCCCTATAGGCTGGCTGTGCAGGTCTTTGTCCTTAAGAAATATATCTGAACAATCTTTGCATTCTGACTAATTTTCTCACTAGTATTTGCTTATGCCAACAGTCTTGTCTAATTACATGCAGGCATGTGTTAAGAGAATCAAAGATGACGAGACCGGGCACAAGCACTGCACTGGCCAATACTTTGATTACTGGTCCTGTGTGGACAAATGTGTAAGCTCTTTGCCTCCTTTCCTCAATACGCCATTGAGTTTATGATTTATGGTTCATTTGTAGTACGATGAATAATATCCAACTTTGTAAGCTTCTTTGTGAGTAAAGATTTGCAAATGACTTGTAACAGGTAGCTGAGAAACTCTTTAAAATGCTCAAGTGATTGAGGCTCGTCGGAAAGTGAGGTTTTCTTTTTCTGTTGCTACTGCATCATTCTGAGGCTGAAGTCGTCATGTTGCAATCGAAATTTTATCAGTGGACATTATTATGTTATGATGACGGACGACATTCACTACTTGGAATATTTTTTACATAAAAAAAGAGACACGGACGCATACAATTGTGTGCCCATTTTCTGCTGCAGACAGATTTATGTTATCTTTTATATCAATCTGCTTCTGTCAAATGTTACATTTTATGCGACCTTGCAAGAACTTTTAACACCCAGTTTACTTGTGAATTGCGATGTCTTTGGTAAAAAGTCAAATTGCTTGCGAAGTGTGATATCTTGTCTATATATTGGAGAAGTTATGTGTTGGATATCACGATGGTGAGACGTGGCAATTCTTGCTCGCATGGGTTATGGGTTACGGGTTACTAACTTACTAATCATCTTCTGCTTTTCTCCCTCCCTAGCGCGTGGTGTACTTATTGATATACTTATTGAAAGGCTAAATTATTGTATTTTTGGTACATTTTTCTTATCAGTTTATTATTTTTTGTAGTTCGGGGGATGTTTTCCTATTTTTTTAGCCAAATGTTGTAATTAGATCTACGACTTCACCGTCGATAAAAAAAAAGCTATGAAACCTCTTTCCTCATAGTTTTTTTTTGGCTTCTGAGAAATCTCTTCGTCACATTTGGAGGTAATACCATGCCCTCCACTTCTTTGTCCAAAAATCTAATTCGTGGTAGTGCGCTCGACATTCTTGAATAAACTTGGGAATAGTTATCGTCTTTATACCAGCGTGCCAAATAGTCTTCGGCACTTTTCTCATGAATAAGATAGCACTAATAGCCCTTCTTTGTCCAAAAATCTAACTCGTCGTAGTGCTCTCAACATTCTTGAATAAGCTTGGGAATAGTTATTGTCTTTATACTAGCGTGCCAAATAGTCTTCGGCACTTTTCTCATGAATAAGATATCACAAATGAATAAGATAGCACTAACAGCATTATGCGAGGTTTCATGACTTTTTTTCCTAGCCAACGACGAAGTTTTTGGGTCTAATTGCAAATTTGGTTCATAAAAACATACCAACATATTATCAGGGTTAGAAAAATACCAAAGTGGTATGAGTGATGTAAAAAAAATATAAAAAAACCAATACGATAATTTAGCTCTTATTGAAATGTAGAAATTTGACAAATAAATTGTTCGGATTGCAAAAAACTGCTGGTGGTACACACATGATAAGCTATTTCCTCTCACTCAACAAATTTTTATTTCTGGTAGAAACTACTTAATGGAACAAACATTTTAAGCACTTAAAATGTAACATGAACTCCTTTCACTTATTATCTTTACTAGTTTGTACAAAAATTCAGAAAATTGATGACAACAGGAGGTCTTTAAAGGTTGATTGAAGGAAAAGAGAAAGCAAGCAAAGTAGACTAGGACTCAAATGCATCCTGGTCAAGTTTTCTGATTCAGGACTCAAATTTGTCTACTTTCTTGTGACGCAATATTGTCACACCAGAAGTAATTAGACGCAATATTCTGAATTTATTCCAAAACACTCTATTTTCTTTTCATTAATTTTTTCGCTTCATATTTTTTACAAAAAGGAAACAAGTTAAAATCAGATCCTGTCTTTAACAGTCTCTAAACATTCAACCCACTCCAACGAAAAAGTATAACGATCTCCTTCAAAAACCTATACCCATCCCATACAAACCTAGCTACACGCACAAAAAAACTAACAACAACACAGTCTGTAACTCTCCATCAAATCCTCTACATCCACCGACAGACTGACCACCTGGCTCTGACCACCGCCAAACGAGCACTGTCGACACATTGGACACGACGAATGGTCCGTGAGCCACTGGTCCACGCAATCCGCGTGAAACCCGTGCCCGCACTTGGGCAACACCCGCACCCGCTCCCCTGCGACGAACTCCGACAGGCAAATCGTGCACTCGGATCCAAACCCGTTCGACCCGACCCGTCCCGAATAAATCAGAGTAGGCAATGCGCTCACAGCCTTTCTCTGGGCTCCAAGTTGGTTGGTTTGATCGATCGGGCTCGGTTCGGTTCGAGCCCACATTTGTTTCACAGCCTGTACCGTGAACCTTACTATGGCGTTTAAGACTAGTCCGATGATCACCGCACAGACCATGGCGGCAACGATGGCGATGACCCCGGCGTCGAAGTTGCTCGCCGTGATTTGGGTCATCTTGTTGGGCTTTGACTCGGCTGGGCCGGGGTTTTCGAGGGGCAAGTAAGGGAGTGACCTCCTTGAGGGAATTGGAGAAGGGAGAGGAGATGAAGGTAACATGTTGGTCGGAGATAGAAATTTGTGGGAGTGCATGTAGGGGTTGAGGGTTTATGTACAGGATATGAAAGGTGATATGTATATTTTAATGGAGACATGATGGGTGTGGATAAAGTTATTCTTAGTCGTAGGCATAATTGTACTTAAACATGTTCCTAAAACCGGCGAAAGGGTGTGATGGAACCGAGTCACCATTTAACCTATTAGACGGCTATACGTGACAAATTTTGAAGCTCGAGTACTTCTCAAGCTCCAATTATGGACTTTGGTGGTGGATTTCGTTGAATGGAAGCTTCTAAATTAAAGATGAAGAACGTGGAGGTGTCTAAAAATCGCCGCCGATTTTGAAAGAAAGCTGTCAAAGTTCTGACACTTTGACAGCTTTCCCTTCTTTTCTCCTTCAAAAAAAAACAGAACCAAACGCGCCCTTAGTGCTTGCAGTGAGTAACAAAGTTCGAAAAGTTTTCTACAACTGCATGAGAGTCATAGCCACAATTTTCTTACATTTAAGGGTTAACTACAGAAATATTCTCTGCATCATAATGGGTTAGTCACATGTTACGCAAACTTTTTTATTAGCTCTTAGGCCTTCCAGTAATGCCCAAATGGATAGCCTCTTTGCTATTTGTACCTTAGCACAGTAGATTTATGTTCATATAGGATTTTGCTTAAATATATTAAAATAACAGAGGCTTTGTACCATATTGATCGTCACATCACATCCAATAATCGAGAGATAATTTCATTTGGACATTAGAGAGTCTAAACATTAATAAAGGAAAATTATTAGATGATAGTGGTCAGCCCCATACTTTTCAGGGGGTACCCATGCAAATAAACTAGTTTTAAATATAAATAAATTTAACAAACGAAAAAAACAAAACAAAACAAAAAGAAAAGTGGTTTAATTTTTTTCGCCCAAGTTGCAACAATATTGAATCCCAATTTTATTTGATCAACTAGATTGTTGTTGTGAACAATATTAAATCTAAACAACTTTATGATTTTGTGAACCTGAACTACCCTTGGGTGTTCAACATCCTATTATTAATCTGTGCATTCTATACTTAGGCTAAATATCAGCAAACCCCCCTTAACTTTGGACAACTAATGGGAAAGCCCTCTTAACTTATAAAATATTAGAAACACCCCCCTTAAGGATCAGGAATATCACAAAATCCTTCTTTAGCTTTTAGATTTTATCAGGAACTCTATTTAACTTTGAGGTTTTATGATATTTAGCCTGCTATCTACAGAACAAAAGAGGTAAAGTGGACCTTTTCCCATGATCATTTGTGATGAAATTTGCATATGAAATTTGATCTCTCTTGTTCTTAAGATTGATTTTATGTTTTTAGTACTAAAGTTATTTGTAGGTGATGATTTATAAGCAGTAATTGTAAATCATAAACCCACACCAGAGGTACAACTTAACTAGTATCCCAAATCAAGCCATTATTATAAGGAGAGAAGATTCACATTGGTTGTAGACTTGTAGGAACAAATCTTAGCTTTCGTATAATAATGGGTGAAAGTTTTTCATGGGGCTTGAAGCCAATCCTTTTGCCTAAAAGTTGAATCCCGTTATCTTTCAATATGGAGACTCCACTACCGACTGTAGTCTTCTTCTGGAGCCCCGCCCATAAAATGGTTACAACTGGAATATGGCCGGATGATGTGTCTAACTGTGATTGACTTGTCATGGTCCCACTTTCCTATGTGGCGGGTGACGTGGAGACTGGGATAAGTTGTTGGCTCTATGAGGCGCGCATGAGTTAAGGGTGTTGTCTGCTGACTTGTCTAAATGTTGTTGGTCTGACTCCTAGTGGCAATCCTACTTGGACCTTACGTGGTTAACTATTTGATTATATCTACTTAGGGGAAGTTTGGTTCAAATCCTAAAATTTTAGGTTTTATAATCTTTTAAATCCTAAAATTTTAGGTTTTATACTTAGGGGATTTCAAATCCATATGGATTTACACAAGCTTTAGGATTTCTAATGTTTCGTTTGGTTCAACATTATTATAGGGAAGCAAATCCAAATTTTGTAATCTCTTGTTTGGTTCAAACCCATAATTGTAGGATAACAAATTCTAAAATTTGTAATCTATTATTTGTTTCAATTGTTAAAAAAAAAGGGAGAGTTGAAAATGACCTTGGTGAGCTTACCTCACACAAAAGAACAATATAATGGTATAGCAATTAGAGTAACCATACCCATTATTAGAATTAGGCAAATCTGATCCAATTTATAGAATTTGGCAAGTCCTAAAAAAGGCTTGTTTTGTGTATTTTAGGGATTCAACATTTTCAAAAATTTTATTGAAACAAAGACCATGTATAGAATCCAAAAAAAAAAAAAAAAACATGACACTTTCTATTCCTAGAATTTGTAATACACCCCAAATGCCAAAAACTTTGATAAACCAAACGGTCTCTTAAAGTTCGAATTATCTAATGACATCTTTTAATAATTGGTTAAATATTAGAGAGAAGTAAATAATTTTTTTATTGCTTGATCTTTTATGCATGTATCCTTTAATAACTGGTTAAAATGATAGTATTTAAATATTGTTAGTGCAACGACACTGTAATAATAACTTCCAAAATATCAAAGAAAGAAAAACATATCAGCTGTTTGGAAGTAAATTGAAAATGTGTAAGTTATTATTATTACTACAACTGCTATTATTATTACTATTATTTTTACTGCTACTACTATTACAAATGACTTTCTTATCCACATCAGCATACAAGTGAACTACAAACGTTTGCTTGAAAAATAAAATTATTGTTAAAAATGCAATGTGAAGATGCTGTGGCAAAATAGAACTAATTAGTAAATATAGTTAAAATTATTTAATTAAGATTAGTTTTCAGTTTTATCACTTTTATGTAATTTTACCATTTTTTTAGGGGATGTTAAAATTGCATTAAATTCTATGTGTAATTCTTTTACATT